TATTTCTCGTCCTGTATGATTGAAGATGATTGACAAGAAATGAGATCTTTAATCTTTCCTCTATTTTATGAAGATATTTTAGAGGAACAATGAACTTTGACCCTATCAAATATTTCGAACTAAAAGGACCATAAAAATTGGCATCTCTCAAACATAAAAAGATTTGACAGTAATTGTGTGGAAGTGACAACATGCTATTGTTACAGTGTCGTAAAATTATTACTTATAATTATTTATTGGATGCTATTTAATAACTGTTTGTTTGAATGGGAAAAAATTTTTGAAATCAAACTTCTGCATTTCTTCCTTTAATGTAGCTAAAATTGATACATAAGATTATGAGAATTTATTATCAAAAGAAAGGATTTGTTGATGATAACATAATCATAATCCTGAGGAGAATAACATTCAGTACTTGTCTATTCATTGAATGTTTATTTAATTAACATTTCAAATTTGATATCATTTCAGTGTTCAAAGGAATGAAGGATTTAGAAAGGAAGAAGTTTGATGTTGAATGTCCATCAGAGATCTTCAACAATTTATTGCTGATTGAATATCACATTCCTCATCTTTCGTTCCTTTTTGAGATGTTTTGATTGAGAGATGAATGAATGAATGATGAGTTCGATTTCATTTTTTATACTTAATTCAGAAGTAGCATTAATTGAAAATATATGCAAGACTATGATATTATCATTATTCATAATACAATAGTTGATTACTGTCAGGATTATAGGTATGACCAACACTCAGTAAATCAGTTAATGGACCAAGACTTTGTCCACTACTTCTCCTCCTGTTTTTAAAAACGATGACACGATTTGGTCGATTTTGGTTCCAGCGTGATCACTTTGATCAGTTATCAGTTGAATAATCCTTCGCCTAGCATTAATAAGCCAATTATTAACTTGCAGTATTCTATCCTTTGATGAAATTTCAACACGGAGATAAACAAGAAAGGAAGCAGAAAAAGGGAAGAACAAAGTATTTCACATTGAAAACCCATGTAAATAGATTTGAACAAATATTCCGTTGAAACGTACCCAAATAGATTTGGATGAAGTGTATCACGTTGACAACGTTTCCAAATAGATTTGAACAAAGTACATCACGTTGACAATACATCCAATTCGGACGGTAAAGTTGAAGAAATGTCGCAGAATGTAGAAGTGAGATGAAAAATATTTTTGAATAAGAGCGGAACTGAAATGGAAATGAAGAGGGAAAAGGAAGCTGAATAAATCTTGCTTAGATTCCATCTCTCTCTCTCTCTCCCTCTCTCTCCTTCTCTTCCTCTCTTCAATTTAGTTTCCTTCCCGTTGCTTTTATCAACATTTTCCCTATTCTGTAAAATTTCACTATTTTTCTTATACTTCATATGATCACTTGATCATTTGATCACTTATGATCGAAGTATACAATCAACCATTGATCGTTCTAATTCAACAACTAAATCAAAAAAAAAGTTGCAATTCGAATAAGTCTTTTTTTTTAATTTAATTGAAAAAAAAAACGATTAGAAAGAGATGATGAAAAGGAAAGAAAGATATGAGTGAGTAAAGAGAAAAGATGGATAAATAGATAGATGGTTATGTTGCAAAGGAGCATTTTACATTCTAATGAGTACTACTAACAAAATATATTTATAGCTGATCGAACGGAATGTTCCGTTCTTTCCTGTAAAATTCAGCAAGGAAGTAGAAAAAGCTTCCTAAATTTTTTTCTTTTTTTTTTTTTTTTTTGTTTT